GTCACATGATAGGGAAAGCCACGTGATTCTAGCCAACAATTCAAAAACTCATGCGACGTCATAGTCAATAAAATAGTCACAATAAAAACTATCTAGTGTTTCCAACTAATCAGTTCAAGCGCTCTGTGTTGCCAAGTTTTGATCTTTGCAGAAAATTTCTACATATGTATACAAAATGCATTTTATTTAAAAGTATAAACATAAAACATGATTTTTTTTTTATTTAAAAAAATCTTTTTGAAGAAATTTTATTTTCCTAACATTCAAACATCTTTACCCAAATATGAAATTAGAAATTTTATCTGAATTTTACAAATAGAACAACAAGCTAAATGTTTGTTTTGAAATTCAATGGAAAACACGTGTTTGTTTTTATCATGTGACTTCATTAATTGAAATATAATAATATCAAATGATGCCTTTATTATCAAACAATTAAAAAAAAAAATTTTTTTAAAAATGCTTTCAATTAAATTTAGTCCTTGTAGTTATAGTCAGTACAAGAAACAGTCTGCATACTGTTAACCAATATTTCGGTACATACCGTATTTATTCGAATTTAAGCCGCCATCGATTCTAAGCCGTTTTCCAAATTCTTAGTGGCCGCGGTAGCCGAGTGGTTAAGGTGTCGGATCGTGGCTGGCCTTGTCACGAGTTCGAGCCCAGTACCACTAAAGACCCGCGGTGTAGGAGAGAAATGCACATTAAATCTGTCGAGAGCTCAAACGTCCTCCCGTAGTTGTGGTAGTTAGGAGAGGGGGCAGCTCAGGTGTCGTCCACGTCATTTGACCATGGTTCAAAATTACGTGGTCCGTCGCCAAAAGCCCTAGAGTAGCTTAACAGGACGATGTTATTATTCACTCACTCACACTCATTACAAATTCTTGAGAAAAATGAAAAATAGTGTGAAATGATTTATCGGTATCCAATTTTGCGAAATTAAAATAAAAAAAAAAAATTTTAAATTAGAACTAATTAGCAGTGAATAATTTTTTTTTTTACACACACAAATACTATAAACTTTTAAATACGTTTATGAACCTGTAGTTGCTCTGATTGCCCAATCCTACGAAATGTTTTTTCCTTCGATACTTAGCCGCCACCGATTTTCAATAGTATTAAGAGGTCTCAGGGGTGTTAAATTTTTCTAGAGGTCTGAAAATATAAACAATTTTCAAACAGGTATAATTCATTTAAAATTAAATTTAATGATTCGAATCTTTTACACATTATTTATAAAAGTATGGGGCTTCAGAAAAGTATAAAATGTTTAAAATATAATCATAATTTTAAAAATCATAAGCATATGAAAATTCTATGATAAATATTAAGTATTTTTTGTGTTGCGCACGCTATTTTCTAAAATAGTAGCATCTGATGTATAAAAATTTATAGAATTATAAAATGCATCATATTCTTTAAGCCGTACCTAATTTTAGTATTATATGTCTTTTGTATTTCAAAATATTTGTAAAACATTGCAATTTTTTAAATATTTTTAAAAAATGTATTTTTTTTTATTTATTAAAATATGTAAGTTAATATTCTATTTATATAAAAATAGCTACAGTGTAATGAGAATACATTTAACTTTATTATTCAACTTATAGCTAGTAATTAAAGCTACTATTTTAGAAAATAGCGTGCGCAACGCAAAAAATACTTAATATTTATCATAGAATTTTCATATGCTTATGATTTTTAAAATTATGATTATATTTTAAACATTTTATACTTTTCTGAAGCCCCATTCTTTTATAAATAATGTGTAAAAGATTCGAATCATTTAATTGAAATTTAAAAGAATTATACCTGTTTGAAAATTGTTTATATTTTCAGACCTCTGGAAAAATTTAACACCCCTGAGAATCCTAAAGGTATCCGACTACGTTCGGAACCGTGATTTTGCAAAAGCGTGTAAATGGATAATATTTATGATATTTAGTGTCACTTAGATTAGAATACATGTATAAAATTGTTTTAAGGACATTATGATAAAAAAAAATTATTTAAATACAATATTTTGGCAAAAAATTAACTTAGAATAACCTTTTTTTCCAAATGATCTCCTTTTGTAAAAAGTGCTTCTATTGTATTAATATTTTGCCTGTATTCAACTCAGACCTCTGTACAGAGGCTCAACTAGAATTTTTGAAATGCATAACTCGGGAGTCGGTTTATCCTTGTTTTAGGAAAACAGAAGGGAGAAATTTTAAGACAATACGCCGATAATTATTTCAAATGGTTGTAACTCTAAAAAAATAATGTGAATTTTTCAAAACTCATAGTTGAGCCGCTGTACAGAGTTCTGGCGCTATATATACAGGCAAAATATTAATACAATATAAGCATTTTTTGCAAAAGGAGAACATTTGGAAAAAAGGTTATTCTAAGTTAATTTTTTGCCAAAATATTGTATTCAAATAATTTTTTTTTGTCATAATGTCCTTAAAACAATTTTATACATGTATTCTAATCTGACACTAAATATCATGAAAAGTATCCATTTATGCGCTTTTTAAAATCATGGTTCCTAACGTAGTCGGATACCTTAACTAGAAAAAAAGTGAGGCTTAGATTCCAATAAATACGGTAATTACTAACTGCTAATCCTCAGGCAATCACCCCAAAATGTCTTGGCGGTCCACCGAGGAGGAGATTGTGAACTAAAAGAAGGAACTGAAAAATAGTAGCATTTTAAAAACTAGGAGTCTAGATTAACGGGAGAGGGCGGAAAGGGTTGAACAGTTCAAACAAAATTCTTAAATTAATAACATGTGAAGCAATATTCGATATTATTTTATATAAATCAGTTAATAGTTAGTTTATACTTGCTGAAGGAACTTATATATTGACTTCAAATCTATTTTGTGGTCCACAGTATGCGGTGGTCGTCTCCTGGCTTTACGAGAAATGGAGCATCTGTATTCGCACGCCAAGTATGGCGACCAGAACTACGACAACAAAGAGGATTGCGACTGGATCATTCAGGGCCTGAATGATCACCGGGTGAGACTGCGGTTCCTCACTTTTGAGGTGGAGCACGAACAGGATTGCGGTTATGACTACGTTGAGGTCTACGATGGGGAAGATGACTCAGCCAAGAACCTCGGCAAATTCTGCGGAAACAAGGTGAGTCCAGAAACCATTTGTCACAATCTTCAGCAATCTCAACCAATTGGCTAACCAACTGGACAAAAGCTTTATTTACTTCAATACATGTTATTGACATCCCCTTTCCCACCAGTTAACTACTTCGACGTATTTGGGAAATCTGTGTCTAAACTACTTCGTACAAATTAAGCTTTGACCATTATACTCGTCAAACATGGAGTATGTGTAATATGGAATTAAGTTGTATTGAAATTACGTTAATTTTTTTTTTCTTTATTACTCACATTCATTTATTTATTTAAATTAGTATAGTTTGCGTATAAACATGACAAATCAATTTCCTACTGTAATCTGCTGTTGAAAAATGAATGATATTGAGCAAAGCATGGTACTGTAGTGGTATTTACATAAGCCAGTAATAGCCTCCGGACAGGGGTGATCACTTTTATCTAGTGGTCATGTTACTTGGCTGCGGAACTGCGCGTCGCAGGTTCTGTCCTCGGATTCTCTTCCACATTGGTAACCTTGGTTGAACCAAGAAAAAGGTAACCTTCTGATCTGTCGTGGTGCCATGTACCCGCACCAAAAGCAACCAAAATCGACTGAATCACTTGACTCAGCAATCAAAGTCGTCAGACTCACTTGACGCAACACCACATTAGCAGCAACAACTCACACGCTCGCTATAATAAATATATCGTTCGTTAGCCTATCCACCGACTCCCTGGTGGAAGAGTACTGTAGCGGTGTCTGCATAAGGCAGTAACATTCAGACAGGGATGATCACTTTTGCCTAGTGGTTATGTTACTCGGCTTCGGATCCATAGGTCACGGGTTCTGTCCTTCGGATATGCGACGCTTCAGTACAATACAAAATGGAACTTCGCAAGAACAATTTGCAACATTAACATTTCTGAAGCATTTTCCCGCGGAACTTTATTATACTATCTTTGCACTGTAATCTAATTTTTCTGTAAAATCCGGCGTATAACGCTCACCACCGTAAAACGTACACATATACTTTCAAGCAGAAATTTTTAACTTTTATGTATATTCGCCGTATATCGAGCATCCTCTTACGAAGAAACCTGAAATGCGCGTGCGAAATGCTCCAATGTGTTTTGAAGTCATTTATTCAAGTTATTATTCCAAGCTTTAGAAAAAATAGTATACTCCTCCAAAAACTACAACCCTTTAAGTTCGTAAAGAACATCATTCCTTTGAAATAAACAGTATTTCGATATATGTATGAATTTTAATTTTTTCCTAGCTCGCCCTTTTTTTTTTATTATTATTTATTTTTAAAGCTCTCATTTTTATACCCGGCGTATAACACGCACCCTTGAATTTCGATCTAGTTTTTTGTGTTCAAAGAGCGCGTTATACGCCGGATTTAGTCTGAAGACTGCTTCTCATTCAGACTAATTTACTTTTATCAATCAGACAAAAGTATTGCACCAATGAGAACATAGGTTAAAACAATATATGAATCTGGAATTTATTCTATGATTATTAATAAAAATCAGCCATACACATTTAGGGAAAAAAAAGTGTGTGTGTACTTATGTACGCACGTAAGAAGTTATACTTCTTAGTCGTAACAAGATTAAAATCTTTCTAAGAATCTTTAGCAGGGCAAGCTGGCCCAAGGACGAAAGGCGGTCACAAGCAGAGTTGAACGATACTAACCTTCAGTCAAACGGACCAACCAAACCTGAGATAAATACGATTTAAATAAATTTAAACACCTCCGCACAGGGACAATAGGACCAGTAATACGGGGAGGGGGTCGAAGACGGGAATGATCTGTCCCGTTCTGCATATTTCTAGACAAAGCAGCTTCGTATACGTTCCTACGGAACACAAAGCAAAGGTTTCTCTGACGCGGGTGTATAGCTCAGTGGTAGAGCATTCGGCTGCAGATCGAGAGGTCTCCGGCTCAAACCTGGGTGTACTCTTCTTTAGGGAAGTGAAGCGAAATATTTTTCTGATAATTTTGAAGGCAGAAATGATTTGTCTCATTCTGTATATTTCTAGACAAAGGATTTTCGCATCCGTGACGGTGTGCGTCACATCCGTGACGGTTTTGCGTCATATCCGTGACGGGGTGCGCGCGCATTGTAAAAATTTACCCTCATCATATTTCTCTAACGCCCCAAAAGAAGTATAACTTCAAAAATTATTCAGGCCACATAAGGTTCTTTCATAATTATTGTTTACAAAATTTTATTTCTACCTGGCTTCAAAACATTTCAAACATCTTGAAATTTGCGAATATATTCTAGTGTTCACTAAAATCTCAATTTAAACTACATATTGTCACTACTCTTTGCTCATGACGAATATACAGGGTGATCCCGAATTCCTGATACAAATTTTAAGGGTAGGTACAAGACATTGTAAAAATCATTTATTGTATAGGAATCTATGGGGGCAAGTAACACGGTGAGGCACAAACACAAAAAATAAGAGACGAAACACAAAGTGCTCATTGAAAGTTTCGTTGACAAGTGTAATGTTTACAATAACTATTTATACCTGTTCAGCATATGAGCAATGAAGTCCAACTGCAGCGCACATTGTTGTACCATCCACTGGATGTCGGAGAAGTTAGTCAGCCGGATTCGAAGCTTGTACTCGCTGAAAATGGAAGAGGTGAAAGCGATTTTCGTTTAAGAGCTCTCAGGACCCTTAACAGATATCCGTGCACTCGAAAAAAACATCCATCTTCAAACCAATGTAACTTAGCAATAAAACAAAACAATAATTTGAAATTCTTACCACATGATAATCATATATATTTACAATATTTCTCAATTTTCAGAGAATTTGAGGAAAAATTTAAAAAAGTTATAAAGAAATAAAAAATGGACAAATTTTCAAAAATATGAAAATTAGTATTTTACCCCGCGCAGGATTCTAAAGTACAAAATTGATCAAAATTTACAAAATTAATTTTACTTGGTATAAAAATGTTTACTTTTGAAGTTATATTAACTTTTAAGAAATTTATAAGAAAAAAATATTTTTAAATACAATTTTAACGAAAATTTTAAAATTTTAAGAAAAAAATAAACTAAAATCCAAATATAAAAAAAATTCTATTAATTTTTTTTTTTTTTTTTTTTTGAAAATTGATGTTTAAGTTATGAAGAGCCTTATTTTGAGCACGTGTATAAAATTTCAAATTGATATCATAAATACTTTATGAGAAATCTTGCGCGGAAGCTAACATTTTTTTGTTTTGCGAAAAATGAAGTTAAAGATAAGAAAGAGAAAGGGTTTTCTCTCGTTTAAACTCCACTACTTATTTCTCAATAACTTCGTAAGTTTTCACAGTATCAACACAATTTTGGTACCAAAATACTCAGAAATATTATATATTGCGGCTTTAACATATATTTTTTTCATAAAATTGAAAAATTTGCAATTTAAGAGTCCTGTGAGTTCTTAATACTCTGAAAACGGTATGATGACCCACACTTACGTAATGAACAACAGCTCTTGTACTAGACTCTGGTCTATCAGTCACAACGTTCAAGATGCTTTCTTTCAGGCTTGGACTGCGTACAGCTCTTCGTCGACCAGTATCATGTTTGGTGACGTGGAATGAACGTGTTTCACGAACTTGACGATGTAACCACTGAAAAATTCTGTGATCCGGCATTCGTCGATCAGGAAATTGCACTTGAAGCATTCGATTCGTAGCGCAACACTGCCGTTACCATTTGGTACCGTACACGTAGTTCACGTCTCCAATCTCGGCGTACGTAAAGTGTCCTATGGCAGACGTCAGCATAATTGCGAAGGAAGCTTTTCCGTACTGAGATGCATCACGCTGAATGGTGGCTAGACATCTACAGTCCCCTACCGGTAACGCAACAAACAGATGATGCCATTTCTCTTTCCTTTTATTTCCCCTGTTTGCGCCTCACCATCTCACTTGCGTCCATACATTCCTATAAAATAAATTATTGTTACTGTGACCTATATCTACCCTTAAAGTTGACCATGAATTCAGGACCACCCCGTATTTATTGTTTGATTATGAAGCGAGGTTCATTCAACGTTCATTTTATCATTTTATTGTTATCATTGTATGTAAACATATTTAATTGTCGCATGATTTTATTTTCAACTATTTTATCTATGTTCTTAATTTATCTGAATTTATTTTATATGTTTACTTGAATAGAGAGGCATTCAAATATCTAGTATCTGGCAGTATTGTTTTTCTGCCTGCATTGGCTATTCTTTCATGTATCTGGTAACAGCTTTTATATATTTTACTCGCTGGATTTGCTATTCGAATCTCGAAATGGAGATGGATAGATTGAAATTCAATTTTTGTGCTTTTGGAACTTCATATTTTGAATGTTGTTCTATTCGATGCTATTCTTTTCATGTTCTATTCGATGCTATTCTTTTCTTGATTTAACAGTAATAACTGTGAATATGTTTCAGTGTGTTGCTTTTGTTTAGTAGTATTTTGCGCGATATTCGAATAAATCTCTCAAGATGTTGACATCTGCGTTCGAAATCTTTTGTTTACAAGTCCTCCTCTTAAATTCCTTAGATTAACCCTCTAAGCGGTCTGCACGTAAAGTCTTGCCATTCTGGAGACGCTTCAAAAATAAACCACACGTATTTTTTTGCCGTCAGGTGGGGTTCTCAAAAGCGGTTGAGCCGTATTTTTAAGAATGCGGCTCGGCCGCTTTTGGGAATCTTGCTTGAAGGCAGAAAAAGCATCTCTGGAATGACGGGATTTTACGTGCAGACCGCTTGGAGGGTTAAAGTAATATCTCGATTTTATGCATATATATTTTGTTTGTTGTTGTTTCTTATCCTCGAACGATCTGGAACATGCCAGATTAGCTCCAGAAGGTTGTTTATCATCGAAAAATCTATGATAGTAAAATGATCGGATGTTAAGTGCCTCTTAGAAAGTCCGATGGATCTCAGAATGTGATCCGGTGAAGCTGGATGTCACAGCATTCCTTGCAAGTGCGGTAGATTTTTCTGCCACTATCATAGGAAAAACATTTCGAGTGGTGATACTTACGTATTATCGCAACGATCGCCAGCTTCATTCATAACTCGTCAAGTTGGTAACCTCGATTTCCTATGTGTCGTACGAGCTGAATTGGCAACCAGGTGCTTCCTTTCATTTAATGTTGCCAATAGGTTGCGATAATCCGTAAGTACTCAAATGGCCACTTGTTAGTCTAGCCAGAACATTCTAGGAGCCACGGTCACATTTATTTCCAGCAGAAAGCCAGGGGACATCTTTTAATTCAACTGATGTTAGGTCTTTCCCACATTAGAGTCGTAACACAAAGTTGTGTACTCTTTTAGCGCTGTTATAAACAGTCGTCTTACATATTTTATTTTTCATTGATATTTTAATCAGAATTACATTAATTACTGGAGCGGCATTAGAGTTTTCAGGTACTCTGAGCCGTCTTCAACACTTGCTTATAAAATTGAATAAAACAAATTTATGAGTTTTAATACCCACGGAATGTTTTTACAATACACAAGTGCACTTTTTTTATGGATATCTACTACATTTGGTAAAAATTCTTTTGCTAAACAAAACACTTGTAACACATAAGTATGGAAGGTATCTTACGTAAATATGTAACTGTATGAATACAGGTTTAAACTGAATTAACCTTATAAAGATTGACACCTATCGTTGAAAAAAATTATTTAAAAAGCTGAAATATATTAAAAATTTCAACAGTTTTCAATTCGTACACCGTCCTATGTAGTGAGTGAGTGAATATTAACGTCGCCCTGTTCAGCTACACGAGGGCTTTTGGCGACGGACCACGTAATTTTCAACCATGGTCAAGTGACGTGGACGACACCTGAGCTGGCACCCCCTCTTTTAACTACCACACCACACCATCGGGAGGATGTTTCAGCTCTCGACAGATTTAACATACATCGCTGCCTTACATATCGGGTCTTTAGTGGTACTGTGCTCGAATTCATGACATGCCTGCCATGATCCGATACCTTGACCGCAGCCCCCCGTCCGATGTAGAAAATCCGACATCATGACAAAGTGGATAGAATGGGATGAAAATTGATACATGGACATGGAATGTATATGCAAATAAGAAATTTTATTTACAAGATAATTTTAACACAAAGCTATGGAAATGCAAAAGATCAATGGGAGATGTAGGACTATTTCTCGCCGTAACTTAAGCATTAACCCTCCGTGATACAGATTCAATTAACCTGCAGATAGTGAAGGATAGAAGCCCATGTGTTTTTAACTATTCCCTATTCTTCAGATCAATTGGGGATGGAGCAAATTAGGTAAGCCTCTGCCAGTTATATCCCAAATATGTTCGAAAGATAAAAGAACATGGGACACTGTTGGTCAAGAAAGAAACTGGATATGCTGTAAGGCATGTCTGTTGATGACAAAAGCAAATCCAAAACGTGTCGCTGAACATCATATTGTATCGTTGAGTCATTTAAAAGGCTCAGTCTTGAATCCATTAGAATCTTTCATGTCGGTGGGTTGTGACAACAATAACACTCCCAGTTAAGTGTTATCATATGTATAAGGCCTTTTTACCAATCATCGTGAAACTATTCTCTCGGAGAGATATTGGAACTTCCAAATCTCCTTGAACATTCAATAGAATGTCCAGAAAAGTTTATTGTAAGGTCATTTACTGTAGGATTGATCTGTGAGTGTTGCTGTATGCTTAAATAGACCTGGTCTTGACGATTTATATTTCATCTTCGATCTGTCTGGTCAAAATTCTATGCATCTGTGTGCGAGTTTCAGCAGTGATCCGATTATAGGATCAACTGTATGTAAGAAGACTACAATTTGTGCCCTCGTTAAATCGTCCGATTGCCAGAACTGCTTTCGGTCATCCAGGTACTTTTCTCCACGTGCGTTTTTTAGGACGTATAACTTCTTTAGGGA